CTGGGGCTCAGGCTCTGTGTCTGTCTGGAACCTGGTTGTTATTCTGCATCACACTCCAGCCCATGGTGGTCTGCAGCAGCAGAGAGGAGGGAGGCAAGGAGGGAGGAGAAGGAAAGGAAAGAAAATAAATAAAATATCCCCAAGCAAGAGTAACTCAGCTTGACTTCAGAGGTGAGAAGGATGCAGTTACATGCTTATTATTGTTTATCTGTGTTATGATACTTCCTAAATTCTGTAGTGACTGAGGTTCCCTCTGTGCCAAGCAGGGTATCAAAAATGATTCCTGCCCATGAAGAACCTCCATCCTAGGTTCAAGGTAGGGGAGCAGAGGAGGATCCAGGCAGGAGGATTGTGATGAGACAGTAATGCAGTATCAATCAGCAGAATAACCAGGAGTCTCAGTGAACCTCCTGCTGTAACCACTGCAATTCATTCAGTTTACTGCCATTATCATTGCAATTAGTGTTTCATTTTTGCAACATAAGGTTAATAATCTAATAACTGTATGGGTTACCCACTCCTCAGCTCATTTGTTGTCCTATTCAGCAGGTATAATTTGCTACAATTTTGTATTATAAAGAACTAATTAACAACAAGATTATTTTTCCACTGAACTTCACAGGAGTTTTTTGTCTTGGACAACATTTTATTTTTATTCTGTGCCATGTTCTGGGCTTGATAAGCTGAGTTGCTGACAACAACAGTCACTCACATTTCATCAGGCAGAAGTCCTAATTCAGAGCCAGGTGGCATGAGTGAAAGGTATAATACACATTTTTCAATTAACAGTGTTAACAAGCTTGTTAGAAGAATATTTCTTTCCTGTATTTATAAGTGTAATATTTAAGGTCAAAAATTAGAAATAAATCAAAAAGAAGAAAGAAACAGAGCTTGCAAGAGTAGGGAGTATGGAAACTACAAAATTACTATTAATTATTATAATTAAAAAATTATAAATCCCCATTGTGCCACCTCTGAAGCCAACAAAACATCTTGCACCTGCTTTTATTCCATACCATTAATTCATTGGATTTTCTTTTGTCTTTTGCTTCAGATTTACACCAGTATAACTGAGTCCAGAGCTCAGTCTCCATGGCCCAGTGTCACCTGCTTCTGCATGGAACCTCTAAATCCAGCACCTGTGTCTGGAATGTATCAATTTCATATAACATTTCACATAACACACAACTGGGATTTATTGTTATTGCACAAAAGTGGCAGCTCTGTGTTGAAAAAGCCTAAGAGGACAACCATGACTATTTCACTGCTGACACTTCAAAGATTTTGGTCCAGGATGTATTATTTTTATTAAATAATACCTATACTTCACAAGTGATGTCTATATTGTCCTTCAGCCATACAGACATGGTTATTAAAAAAAGAAAAAAGAAGTTGTGCTTTATGAGTTGTTTTAAGAAGCCATTATATTATTGTAATATGACCACTGTGCTGGCAGGCTTTTGGCAGGTTTCAAATAAACATGCCAGGAATAATTTTGTTGACAGCATCTTGGGTTGGAGCACATCCAGCCTTCATCCATAAGATGTCAACACAGTGATTCTTTCACAGGCAGGAAAATATGTCACCTTGGATCTGTATTTTAGAGTCTTAAAATACCGAAGATGTCTAGATTAATGGCTCCAAAATCAACTTCACAGGTGGCTAGTGAGGTTTTTCAATCACAAATGAATATGTAGGTGTGTAGCATTTGCAGGTTTTAATATGCAGCATCAATGAAGTGTGCTTATGTAAAAACCTGTGGAAACACCTGGTTCACTTTCCAAATCCAAAATCGATTTAGTTTTCATGTAATAGGAAGAAGGAGGTGAAAAACAAGCAGCAAAGGAGAAAAAGGAGAAAACCAGGCTGAAGGGCTTTAGCTTGCTTGCAGAGGTCAGGAGGATGTGTTAGTGCTTCATGTGAGGCAGAGAGGAGGTGGCTCCTGCTGATGAGTGACTTCAATGTTTTCTTTCATGTTCTTTTCATCAGAGCAGAAACCATATGTGCTTGGTTTATTTCCCTTTGTGTCATATACTCAGATTTCAGTATGAACCCCAAATTTGGTATCTTTAGGATTAACACAAAGGCATCTGCTTGCTGGTCAGTTTAGATCTCATGTTTATCTGCAAGCTGAGTCTTTCAGGACCAGGCAAATTTCAGTTCTGAGCTCTGTGCTGGAAATGCACCTTTTGATCTGCCTTTCAAGAACATCATGTATGTGCTTGAATCAGTACCTGCCCAGGGCAGAATTGAACACCTTCCTGGCTTCAGTCCCAAGTGCAGAGGCTCCCCTGAGCAGTGATGCCTGCTGCTGAGAAATCCCAGGGAAGGGTGGGGGTTTGCTGCCAAGGGCAGGGGGTATCACAGGCTGGTGGAGCTGTAAGCCCCTGGAGGTAAAAGATGGTCACAGTGACACAGCAACACCCTCTGGAATTAACAGAAATCCAGACAGGAATAATCTGAGGTGGCCATCATGAATATGGTGTGATGTGTCTGCAGTTTTGCTGTAAGTGATTCTATCTAAAGAGACTTCAAATGACTGAGAACAAAAGAGCAGCTTTCCAAACCTGTGCTGAATGAAGCTGTTTGTCTTTCTTTGAAAACTCATTTATCTCTCCTTGCTTTTTACCGAGGGAAATTTCCTGACAGAATTTTTAAAAGAAAGTGAAAATATTCTTTTCTATTTCTTTGCAGTGTATTAAACCCCAATATTTTGCTTATGAATAGCTTTCCTCCTCTTGACACACTAGAAATTCACTGTATTTTTTTGGTTGAGATTTTGCTCAAATATTGATTGAATGTCTGGAGAATTAATGGGATTGACTTGATAATGGATTCAGTGCAAGTACAGCTGTCCTGAACACTCAAGTATGTGTGTGGATTTCTATCACACTGGGACTCATGGATGGGAAAATCACACTTCATGCAAGGTGTTATTAAGCTCTTGAACTACATCTGGGTTTGTAGATGTTACTCAAGTCCATGAGCTATTTTTTTATTCATTTTTAAAATTTCTGACCATTTGTGGTGACAGTGTTAGATTATTTTCAGGACTGTTGCCATCAGTTCTTTTACACTGTCAGTGATTTACCTCTGTCCCAGGACACTCTGAGGGCTTGGCTGGGTTTCTCACCTGCTTCTCCACAGTTCTCCCATTTCTCTTTGGACCCTCCTGTACCCTGATGTGGAAGAAAGAATATTTCTGCCACTATCTGAGAAACCCTGCATTATTTCTCTTGCTTATTTATAAATTTCCTTCCCTTGGTAAGCCACAGACTTTAGTGCCTCTTGTGCCTCTTGTGCCTTTTTGCATCACCTGAAAATTGGAGATCATAACAGTTTCCTAAAAATGGCATTGGAAGACTAAATTGATTAACATTTGTATTCATATTTAGGGTAAAGGATCTGTAGGAATGAAAGTATTTATTCTGCTTGCTTGATGCCAAAATTACATTTCTCAAAGCTCCTGACCTACTTTTCAAATTTTTCTCCAGTAACAATAGTAGCTATAAATTTGTTCCTTCTAATTATTTTTCAATTCAAATAGAAAGCCAAGTACAAACAAAGGGAGACAAGGAAGGGAGGCTGTTCTCACCTCTACCCCTCTTTGCCAGAAGGAAGAGAAGCCTCATGTCTTTTCCTGAATTAGAATAGATGATGGAGTTCATTAGGTGTTTAATGCCTCAAACTTGGCTTTCCATTGCAGATTTATAGCTTCTGTAGTGGCTAGATCCTCAAACATATAGAAATTGATTTGAGACATTATTTTTTTTCTGTAAAATGAATTCTAGGGAAGGGAAAAAAAAATATTTTGCAGAATTTTCTGAAAACAAAACTGTGAGGTTTGCCTGACTTCTCTTTTCCAGTCTTGTTGCTGTGTGTAAGAAACAGAAGTAAAGCAAACTCTGAATAACGGAAGAACTGAATCTACTAGAAAGCTTTTTGTTTTCATAAAAAATTTAAAATGGAAAGAAAATAGTCTTTTAAAGAAGTACCAGCAGCTCTGTTTTAGACACACCATCCCTCATAATAAAGGAAATGAGGCAAAAAAACTGAAATAGATGAGTTTCACAAGGAGGAGGAGCATCCAGAGTTGTTCTGGCTGTGACCAGATCCCCTGAGTGAATTCAGCCTCCCAGAAAAGCTGAGTGCACTAATATTTCATACAGTTCCTGTGGGTGCTTCAATGCATGCATGAAACCACATATAGTGCCAAATGCTAAGAGGAATCCAGCAAAACACAGGAAAGTGGAATAAATTTTTAAGATCTTGTGAATGCGAACACAGCGCTTCATAAAAACCTCAGTCCTGAGAGCAGGGCTGCTGTGTACATCAGAGGCAGAACATATGGTGCAGTCAGAGCTAATCAGTGAGTGGTGATGGAGGTTTTATCCTGAAGTTTTAAGGATGTGATTAAATTTAATGTATATGCTAGACAAGAAGCCTGTCTTCAATTCCTCTGACCTACCAACCTAGGAGTGCATGCAGAATGCCCTGAGGAGATGTCATGTTTTCTGGGAAGGCAGGAAAGTTCACCAGGGGGATATCCTTATTGATTTTTATCTCTATGCATGCCCCTGTGAATTATTTATCTTCCTGTATGCTTCTCTGACATCTTATTATGAAAGTCTCTTGAAGGTTACTGTAAAGCTCCTCATTCCCAGCCTTAATGAGGGTTGGTAGGAAATCGGCGTTGATGAGTGAGTTTGGATGAGTGCTGGGATGGGGGCTGGTGCCTGTGTGCCAGGAGGTAATGGGGAGTGTGGGTTCCACTGCTGAGCCACCTGTGGGTACATTGCATTTATTTGCTGTATAATTATTTGGGATGAATTCAGTTAATGGCACCATGAATTATAAGAGCCTGAACTGTATTTGGCTCAAGGGCGTCACCCACTGTGGTCACAGGGTGTAGATCTGCAGACATTGCTGTCTGGATTCTGTGCTTGTTTCCTTGTCTAAGTGCCCTTTTCTAAATGTTCATCTTCTTTTGATGTTTCTAGGAGCTGGTGGGGAGTAATCCTCCTCAAAGGAACTGGAAAGGAATTGCAATTGCCTTACTTGTTATTCTCGTTATCTGCTCGCTGATTGTCACCTCTGTCATACTCCTGACACCAGGTATTTATAACCTTTAACTCACTTCCAGTCTGGTTTTCTTCTGTAATTTTATACTTCCAAGAGTAAAGGGATTGCAAACTAACTGCAAAGTCGACATCAAAGGAATTCTCCTTCATCACTTTATCTCAGTGTGATGCTGAATTCAAGGCTATTCTTAGGGAGAATGTTTTAGAGTTTTACATTTCAGTTCAGAAATCAGGGCTGATGACCTGAGGGCACAAGCCTGGAACTTGATTGCCATAACATGGATGGGGAATGTCATTTTAGATGTGCAGGGTAGGAGAGGAACCCACATGGGGCAGTCAGTGAGGGCACAGGAACTCCTGAAATTCATGTCCACATGGAGCAGTAGTTGCCTGTTGAGTGTCATATCCTGGACCATTGGAAATGGCATTGGGTGCCTTGGCACCTAAATCCCATCCCATTCAGTTGGATTGATTTTTAGTTCAGACCACGGTGTTTACAAGGCAATTTCAGATAATGATATACCAGATTGTACTTATCCACACCAAATAATTAGTAACTTCCCAATAAGGAATTCTTTTAGTTAATCCCCTTACCAAGTTTCAGCAAAGTTCTGTGCGTGTAACCTCTGTAAATTACTTCTCTTACAGTAGTTGCTGACACTGTAGGCTTGAATTTTAATGTGGTGTCATTATGATTATTGATTATTATGCATTTATACAGCCCTGAAAATTTCCATGTCTACTTAGGGAGTAGAAATAAAGTGCTTTTGCAGCACTGACAAGATTGTGAACTGAATATGAAAAGACAAACAAAATGAGAGACAAGACATAGAAAAAAGAATTCAGTGTCAGAAAGGGTGAGGAGCTACAAAACCCAGGGGGAGGCAAAGGTCCCTTGCTTAGGGATGTAGAGGAGAAGAACAGGGACTCCTCCTTGGATGAGTGCATGTGAGTGGTAGAATCTAGGGAACAGCAAGAGAGAGAACAGAGAGCTGAGGAGCAGAGTGGAGGCAAGAGAGAAATGAAACCTCAGGAAGTGGAAGAGCACAGGGTAGTGAAGTGGAAAAAAGAGACAGAAGTTGTGGGGCAAAAAATTTCCAGCTCATTACATGCAAAATATGTGCAGTCCAGCAGGCCTAGACCATCTTCCCTGACAAAATTCTTATCCCACAGTCCTGCTGTGTGAGGAACTGGAGACAGGGACAAAACAAGAAATATAGGAGTGCATTGAGTTAATTTGAAAATGAGTGAAGCAATCAGTACATTATTTTTTCAGTTATTTTCATGCCATATTCAGTTTATTTCATGTTATCCTGAAATTTTCAATGAAAATTTAAGTTTCATGTGGTCATGTGAAAATAATTATGTAATTAAATTAATTAAGGTTAAACTTAATAAAGATCATTTGCTAAATTAATTTTGCTGGTGCTCAGATTCAACATCTTTGGACAGTGCTGTTCATCTCTGAGATGTTTTGGGGTGTGGTGTGGGGACTACACTCACATCAGGCACAACTTGTTATGTATGCAAATGTTGCCTGCAGTTTTACAGAAGCACAGACTTTGCAAAGATGTACAGGAAAGCCTTGATTACACAGTCCATACCCATGAGCCTCAACAAGTTCTCTTGAAGCCAAAGCACTGCCTGGGTGGGACCAGGGGTGTCACTTCCATCAAAATCCAAAATCCTTAAATCCACTGGCTTCCCTTGATCAACAATGTGGGAATCCCTTGATCAATCCCTGTCATGATATGAAATCAGGTTTGATAAGCAGGACTCTGCCCTCATGAGGCTTTGCTGGCTGTGACCAAAGACTGAATTCTCTTTAAGGTGTTTTTCAATACCTCCCAGAATAATCTCCTCCATAACTTTTCCAGGCACTGAAATGTTCCTAACAGGCCTGTAATTTCCAGGGGCCTCCTTCTTCTTCTCCTTCTTGAAATATTCACATTCAGTTATAAATAAAATTCAGAAGTGTATTTATTTATATATGTATTTTATATACATCCACAAAGACATTCTCCCTTTGGGGTGTGTGTGCACACACATGCACACATATTTTTATTATGTACCCAGCAACACCTCCAGATAACAGTGTTGAGAGGGTCTCTGTGCTTAAAACTGAGGAATATGCAAAGTAATTTCCTTTGCTGAAATTTCCATTCATGTTTTTTGAGATTTCTCATTACCTGATGTGCTGGTAACCTGGGCTTGGGTTGGTTTTTTTCCCCTGTTTATGTTTCAGAATTGTGTCTTACATGCACATACAAAAACTCTGAGTCAATATTGCTTCTGTTTTTATTATGGATCCAAAGCGGTGGAAGTTTACATTTAATTACACTATAATTATATCTATATAAAAGGTGGAAGTTTACATTTAATTACACTATAGAACACCACACATACACTAATACCTATGCTGAGCTTCTCCAGTTTCATGATGTGTGAGTCCTGCCATTTCACCTACCCTTGAAAAACGTAAAACCATTTATACAAATGATGCCAGTGCTGTCCTGAGGCTTTCCTAACTGGCAGCTCCTCACTTGTCACAGCACGTGGCACCCGTGCAGGTCCCATTCCATTGTTTGTGTATTTGTATAAAGACATGCAGAACTTTCCAGAAGTCTGCCCATGCACACACACAGAGCAAAGCTGAAAAAAGGACCCAGCCCTACAGAAATTTTGAGTAAAATAAGGTCTTCCCAAATTTCATTAGATACTGTGCTTAAGAAGAGGCTGATTTCTCATACATCTGTTCCTGATATTTAAAGCTTTCTGGAGATATACATCACATTTGCTCCTTTCAAATCTGACCTTTTAGTTGAAAAAAAAAAAAAAGTACACCCTAATCCATATTAAAATTTTTTGAAAAATCCATAAGAACTATTTCTCAGAAGTGTTACTGAGCTAGTCATTGCCCAGCATTAATTCATAACATTCTGTCTGATGGTCAAAGGCATTGCCTAAAAAGCTTTTTAGCTCTTGTGATACTCAGGGCAAGGCACTATCCTTTGACCAGCTGTGCAGGGGAGGAATTTGTAAACTGCAGTCATATAAAAATGTGTATTTTACACCACTCCAAACAGGTGGGATTTTTCAGAAGGGAGAAAGACTGCCTGTTTGCCTTGTCTGGCTGTGGCAGCAGCTCTCTCATCACAAAGGGCAATGCACAACTTTGCCAAGCATCATCCTGGGAAAGGCTGTGAGAAGATCAGAGAAAAGAATGATAAACAATTCTTATCTTCACTTGCTGCACCTGTTGTTGTGAACATGTGGAATGTGTTATGGAGATTTGTTTACCAAAGGGTGATTTCTTAATTAGCCAATGGTGATGGTGTTTGGATCCAAGGACCAATTGGGTCCAGCTGTGTCGTGACTGTCTGTAAGGGTGAGGGGTTTCTTAATAAGTATAGTATAATAAAGGGATGGATCAGCCTTCTGGAATGATGGAGTGAGTGCTAATTATTACCCAGCTGGGGGCCTGCAACAACATCTGGCCATTGCCTTTTTGGTACAGAGAGGTCATCTGGGGATAAAGAGGGGTTGGGTCTGCCCAGGGATCAAGCAGGTATGCTGAGGTGGAGATGGAGTTCCTGGTGTGCTGGCCACAGAGGGATGGAGGCACTGTCCCTCTCATGCAATGCACAACAGCCCAGGAGGTTTGTGAGGAGAGCATCCAACACCAGCCTGTGGCTGAGCACCAGGGTGATGGAAAGAAAGTTGGGCACCCAAAAGTGGCTGCAGCCTTCTTACCTATCAAGCAGCCTCTGAGCATGGCTGGAGCTGAGAAAAAGCTTGGAAGAGAAGAAGAAAAACTGCCAGCTGACGTGGCAGTGAGGTCAGCTCCTTTCTCCTTTTAGTTGGAGTTTTCTGGATTTGTGGAGGATCTTTGTTCTGGAGAGCCGCAGGACATCAGATCAGCCCAGGCTGGTTTGGGTGCAAGGATGAAAACTTTCATCCTTGTTTGTTTGGGTGCAAACATCCTTTGCATGTTTGGATGCAGGCAGATGAACACAAACACAGGGTTCCTGTCATGCCTCTAACATTGAATCCAAACCAACATGGAAACCAACAGCAGGCAGATGAACCCAAACACAGGGCTCCTGTCAGCCTCTAACATTGAATCCAAACCAATATGGACGTGGTTCCTGCTTGGTTCTCTCAGCACATAGCTGTGGAGTTTGGATGCTGGCACAGAGGCACTGTCCCTCTCATGCAATGCACCACAGCCCAGGAGGTTTGTGAGGAGAACATCCAACACCAGCCTGTGGCTGAGCACCAGGGTGATGGAAAGAAAGGTGGGCACCCAAAGGTGGCTGCAGCCTTCTCATCTATCAAGCAGCCTCTGAGCATGGCTGGAGTTGAGAAAAAGCTTGAAAGAAAAGAAGCAAAACAGGCAGTGAGGTCAGCTCCTTGCTCCTTTTGGTTGGAGTTTTCTGGATTTGTGGAGGATCTTTGCTCTGGAGATCTGCAGGATGTCAGATCTGCCCAGGCTGGTTTGGGTGCAAGGATGAAGAGCAGGCAGATGAACCCAAACACAGGGCTCCTGTCAGCCTCTAACATTGAATCCAAACCAGTATGGACGTGGTTTCTGCTTGGTTCTCTCAGCACAAAGCTGTGGAGTTTGGATGCTGGGTTTGTGACTTGGCACTCAGATCCCAAGTCCCTGTGCCACTTGCAGGGCTGCCATCTGGATCTGCTGGGCTGGGGGATGTGAATGTAAAACAAAAACAGGGTCTCATGCTTAGTCCTGTCCTTCCATAAGCCCAAAGAGGCCTCCAGGTCCCTGCAGCTGGGTGTGGACAGCACAGCCTGTCCACCAGCTGGTTGAGACACCCTGAGGCACACTTAGAATCTGCTGCTCAGGGCAGAGTGGGGTGCCTGAGATCCCACAATTGCATTTCTTCCTCCATAAATATCTCCATTAGGGCCAGAGGAATGGGGCAGATGTTCTTAATAAGCCCTCTGACCTACCTGTGTGTAAGAGGAGAGGCCAGTGAATCTCTTTTATTTTTCTATTACTGAAATTCATTGATGGATTTATTATTTAGTTTCTTTGTTTTCTCCCCAGCTCTGTGGCTGAGATGAATGTAGCCCATGGTCCAGCAGAGGACCTCTTGCAGCTCTTACAGCCCAAGCAGGGGACAGGAAGGGAATCTCACTCATCCCTTTGAGAGGCTCCTAAAGTGCAAAGTCCAGGTGCTGCCTCTCTCTTCCTGCTGTCCCTCACCAGGAGCTGAGTGCTGTGGAGGAACAGAGATGGTGCAGCTCACAGACTGGCTGTCCCCATCCTGCACAAAAAGGAGGAATAGGAAGGGCTTCCCACCCTGCTTCTTCCCAAATCTCAAGCACAGAGGTTTGATTGTGCCTGTCCTTCTGCCTTCATGTGTTCTTCCAGAGGGCATTTGGCAAACATCTCCTGGACAAGCACAAACATAAGGCTGTGTTTGGGCTCTGCCCCACCTGACCTCCCTGGGTATCCAGCTCTGGGGGCTCTCACCACAGTGAAATTAATTGGAACGATTTCCTGGGTTCCTTGTCACTTATATTTTCCATTTTAATAAATAAAATTATGCAGAATAACTTGGCATGACGCTGTCGCACAGAGGGATTTGGCTGAGGAATTGTGTGAATGGGTTCTGGAATTTGGAAGCCACAGTGAACAGTGTGGTTGAAGTCTCAGCCAGACTAGGGAAAAATATGAACACTGAAGGATATAATTTAATTTTGTAAAAGTGAAAGTTTGTTCTGAAACACCTTTTAGTGGAACAAAACACTGTTCACAGGTATTTTTCTGTAATCTCAGGTAGCTCAGGGGCTTCAATTTAGTACAGCAAAGAAGATTTTTTTTCCACAAATAAATGCCTTCAGGGTCTGCTTCCATTTCTCTAATCATAAGTGTTCAGTGTAAGTTTAGTACTAAACAATATTAGAGATATCTAAGGCTGCCAATAAACCTCAGGCATGAGGATACTGTCTTGAGGAAAGATGCTGGAACACACATTCCTGCTGTGGAAATATTCAGAATGTGGCCTCCTCTTTTCTTTAACATAGCAAATGTATTTACAGCTGACTGAAAGGTTTCCATGAAAATATTATTTCAGCAAAAAATTGAATGTTGACAACAAATTATTCATAGAGGGTGACTGCTTGTCAAAACAAAAGATATTACAGTTGATGGGAGAAAAGGAAAGAGGAAACATTAATCAAAATTGTTGGGTTTTCAAATTTGTTAGTTTTTCTCTAAAACTTTCAGCTTTGATATTTCCCTGTTTACAAATGAAACTGTATATCCTTTCACTAAAAATTAAAATTAGTATGGGCAAGCTATGCAACACGTAAGGATTAAGAGTTATGTCTCATAGACTTTTCAAAAATATTTCTGAAACCAAAGGTCTGATTCCCATGGAATATCTTTTGGGAATTCCTGAAGTAATCTGCATGAGCCCTTAGTTAGAAGGTTAAAAACCTTTCCAGCTATGGTTTTATGTTAAAAATTTAAGGAAATAAAAATATAAGCCCTAAAAAATGGAGCATTTTAAATACTTTTTTAATTGTTTGTAGCTCATAATTTCAGAAATATTTTAGGGTTTAGCTGTTGAATAATAAACATTATATATCATTATGACACCCATAGGTGTGTTTGCATGACTTAGATTCTTTTTTGATCATGTTATGTCTGAAAATGTCTGTTTTGGACAATTTCTTGGTCTTTTGGTAGCTGTTAAGACCAGGCATACATAGCAAGGAGGGCTCTGTTAGTGAGCCATTGGGTGCTCCTTTAATACCACTGACAGTGGGAAGGGATTTGTGTGTGACACAAAACTTGATGTGGACTGTATCCAAATGAGATATGTCACTATTCACAGTTCCTGTGCTTTCAGATACATTTCAAACCTGAACTAATGGTAGTTTGTTTTTCAATGTTTAACAGTGGAAGATAACAGCTTGTCTCAGAAGAAGAAGATAACAGTGGAAGATCTCTTCAGTGATGATTTTAAGATTCATGACCCAGAGGCTAAATGGATAACTGGTGAGTTTTGAGCACTTTGTAGTATCTTTGCTTTGCTTCCTTGCTCCCTGGCCATTGTTTTTTTGTTTGTTTTTTTTTTGCTTTTTTTTAATGTCCTTCTTAGTTCCTCCAATTCTTTGTGCTGCTCCTGAAATTACAGGATCAAGAACTGGTTGGGGTTGGAAGGCACCTCTGGAGATCATTTTGTCAAACTCCCAGCTCCAGCAGTGAGAGCTCTTTGCTCAGAATCATGTCCTCAATTTCCTCTTTTCAACCTTCAAATTCCTATTCCAGTTTTCCTCCTGTTAAGCATGCAAACACCACAGTTCTAACTTTTTATCTATGGATATCTACTGGATATCCCAGTGAGCTCATAGATAGGCATGGAAAACAGCAGCCTTTTTCTCCAAGATCATCCAGAACTTAATAATTGATGTGACACATGGTTGGAAGAAGTGGTTGGAGCACCATCAGTGATTATTTTACCATAAACAAAACTGGAGGTTTATATTCCCTCATCAAATCTGGTTTTTTTCCTGGCAGGGAGGAGAAGCAATGCTAAACAAGAGGCAAACAGTGCTCCAGCAGCAGCTGGGCTGGGGCTTGCACACAAGCCATGTGCTCTTTTTATCCTCTGCTGCCTTGCATTTTCCAGTCAGGGGGAAACCAAATAATACTTGAATTAATGCATGTTGGATTTGCTGGAGTGGAGCTACTTTGGGGGATGTAGATTCCAGCTCTCCCCAGAAATTGCTGCAGTCAGAACAAGCTTTGTTGAGAATAAAATGATTTGTGTTGTGCTGCTCATGTGATTTCTAGTCCAGGTCTTATTATCATGGAAGTTATTAGCTTTTCTTTTGAATTTAATGGGGAACTGGATCAAATCCTTCCTCTGTTTAGCTTTCCTTATCTGCTGTGCCCATTGGGAACAATTTTAATACCTGTAATGAAAAGAGAGAGTGTTAAAGGGTAGTGCTGAATGAACACATTCCCCAGCTGCAAGTTCTGCCACGCACTCAAGCAGAGGGGAAGCTGTTGCAGACAATAAACACCTTCACAAACACACCTGCAGAGTGCAGGAGCTCTTTTCCAGGCTGTGCTCTCCCTGGGAATGGTGCTCCCCACAACCATTTTCTAGGAATGGTGATAATGGAAATATCACCACTGGATAATGGAAATGGTGATAATGGAAATATCACCAATGGAAAGCTGCATTGCAGTTCAGGGGTTTTTGTCTAGAATCCTTTTCCTTTTAGCACAGATATCCTGATGGCTCTAGTGAAGGAAAAGGTTTTACTGAGACCTTGCCTGCTATTTTCTTTATTTGCTAGAGTATAGCAAATAAAGCAGAGTGAAGGGAATGATAATGAATTAACTAAACTTTTTCAGGAACAGAGAATGAAGTATTGCCATAGAGCTGGTATAATATCCCCCCACTGATGAGTGATCACTTTGTGTGGACATCAGGCTTGTTTTCCACAATGGCAGTCTGCTGTGAAAAATCAGCATTTCCCTTGCTTTTTCACTTATGGTCAAATACTAAAGTCATATAAACTTTTATTAAGATAAAGATTCTGATTTTGAGTGTTTTAAAATCCACCTCTCCCTTTTCATGTACCCTTAATTACTCCAGTGCTGTTTTGCTTCTGAAATTACTAAAATATTGTTACTGTAAGAGACAAAATAAAAAGAGATATTATTAAAACATACACAGAAATTTTATAATTACTTACTCTACTGTTTTGACATGAACAAACACTGGCACTGATTTTAATACATCTAAAGGAATTTTATGAAGCCAATAGATACCTTGCAGATTTACCCAAGGGTGACTGCATTTAAGAGCAAGATGCTGATCTACAATGTCATTCATCCAAGGACCCAGAGCCATTTTACAACATTAGTTGCTTTTCTGTTCTTAAGTTGGATTTTTCATAGCTTTCTCTAGCTGGCTAAGTGGTGAAATTGTGATTAAGATGAAAGACCAGTATCCAGATTCCTAAGCACATGTTGTTATTGGCCTCTTATTTTCAGTATGCAAATGAAAGACTCCAAAAATGCCAAAGCCAAACTAATTAACTTAGTGTAACAAGATTGCTGGAATGCCCCAGCAAAAGAAAAAAAAAGCATATTTGAAAATAGAGTATTAAAATTGGATGACTGCTTATAAACCTAGCTGATGCCTTGTGGGGATTCACAGAGTTAAAATAGAAGTATATAAATATAAAATAAATGGGTAGCTGTTGTGTGTCCTTCTTCCCCTTTCTCTCCTGTTAATCATACAGCAAAATATCACAGTCATTCAGAGCTCTGCACAATTCAGTCCTCCTGGCTCATCTAAGCTCTGTTTCCTTCCTTTCCCTCTGCATCATTGCAGAAGAGAGGAGTTTGGTGGCTAGAGATGAAGCACACTGCATGTTTAAGAGTATTTAAGGGATTTGCTCCCAAAATAATTCAGTCAGTAAAATATCTGTGTTCTTCCCAGTAAGCAAGGGACTGGTTCAAACACTGAATGAGGAAGATCTTTCCTCCAGCTAGAATGAGTCTTAGATCAAGTGTTTCAATAAATAAAATATTTCTATTCAGGGTCACACTTAAAAATATGCTGAAAGTTCCATGAAATTGATGCGTTGAGCTCATGTTTTAGCGTTTTCTTGATTCTCAGTGGGCATGTGGAAAAATAATATATTTCTAATCAATAGCTTTGTGTCATTCTATTCCATTGATTTTAAAGGATCTAGGAAAAAAGAAAAGAATCAGTGTCAAAGTTGACATAAATACACTTTCAGTGTAAAGATTACAGTTTCCAATCACAATTTGTGGCTCATTTGTGGATATATCTGCATTTTTTTTAATGGAGTTGCAATTAAATTTACTTGCACAAAGTGAGGAGTGGCAAAGTTGTAAAATTTTGTAAATTTGAACATTTTACAATTTTTGTGATGCCACTGTAATTTCAAATTTCAGTTTGCATTTTTATCCTCTGTTTTAGGGAAAGAACAATTTGCTTAATTAGCATCTGTCTTCTGCTGTCCTGACCACTGCTGTCTTTGGCTCTGTTCAGAGCGATCCAGAGAGGAGCGGTGCATTCACAGAGCACATAGTGACAGGCCAAGGGGGAATGGCTCCAAACTGACTGAGAGCAGGTTTAGACTAGATATGGGGAATAAATTCTTTACTGTGGGGATGGTGAGGCACTGCAACAGGTTGCCCAGAGGAGCTGTGGATATCCCATCCCTGGAAGTGTCCAAGGCCAGGCTTGGAGCAACCTGGGATAGTGGAAGGTGTCCCTGACCATGGGGGGGGATTGGAACTGGATGATCTTTAGATCTCTTCTAACCTGGTCCATTCTGTGATTCTATGATTCTGTGACTAGAATGGCTCCAGAGTTTATTTCTAGATCCACTTCCAGGGGCTGCTATTGGTTAGGTTTTCCCTGTAGTGTGAGTAAATGCTGACTTTACTGTGAAGGTTTTGTTTTTTCAGGACAGCATAGCATTTGTGTTATATCACAGTAGGTGTAAAGCAGTGAAGTACAGGAAGTTTGGGGTTCTGCTGGTGATTAATTGGCACACCCCCTATCCATCTGAGCTGTGTTCCTGTTCCAGCCCCTTCTTCTCACCCCTCCTGCACTGTTCTCATCCCTCCATGCCTCACACTCTGCTGAACTTCTCTTTGCTGTACAACTACAATTATATTGTCCATATACTTAACAAGCATATGATCTCCAATCAGTGGCTTCTTTCACACTGTATATCTTAAATTCAGTATTTGAACATCTCCTTGTTTTCATATCCCCTCCACAGCCCATCAGGAGTGTCCTGTGCCAGCCTTCCTTCAGCCCTCTCCCAGCTGACAGGTGGCCTGCTCGTTAGTCTGGTCCCTAATTGTTTAGCAGTTCTGCTCATGAGCACCACATTACCTTGTAATTAGGCTTTGCAATTACTGGGCTTTTCCTGTAATTTCTCTCACACAGCAGTTTAGCTCAGGTTTCTGCAAAGCTCAATGGGGTGGTGCAATGTTCCTGTAATATTTGACAAAAAACAGGATAAAGAAATTTGTTGTAATTTTGCACTGAAGAGCAGCTTGGTCGTCTGATTTCCTCTATAAACAATAATTCACAGTCATTACTTAGACCTGGCTTGAGAAGGCAGTTGAAGTTGAGTCGTGCTTTCTGGTTTTGTGGCCCTTTTGAGCTGCAGTGATGCCTGACAGCTGTGAGTCTGACCCACACATCCTGGGAGCACTCCTGCCTCATGGGGAGGGAGCATCATGTAAAAGAAAGCGCTGGAGACTGAACTGTACGTGCCACTTGTGGAGACTTATGCTAATCCTCTGTCTTTGTACTTAAATGGCAAATAGATTTTTTTCCTACTTTGAAAGTACTTGGATGCTGTTTTAGTTAGAAAAACATCAAGGCAGCGTTTGATATCCTGACAGAGTTCATTGCAATGGATTGGGTGCAACATGTCAGTCCTTACTCTTTAGAGAGTGTTTTTCCAGCCTTGCTGTAGGCATCTTGCAAGACATTGTATCTAGCAGTGGCTCTTGTCAGGATTTTGGGCTGTAGGTAAGTGACTGGAGGTTTTAATTAGGAGAGCATTTTCCTTGGCCAGACCTGGGGAGGCAATCCTTGCAGAGTGGTTGTAGCCAAATGGGAAGGATAAAGGTTAAAATTAGGAGAGCACAATATATTCAAGAAGGGAGGAGCAGTGAGGTACAAGACAGAAAAGAACATGTTAGGGTCACAGGACCTTAAAAAATGTGAAAATCAAGCCCTTCTCTCTAAGGTCCCTGCCCACTCATTTCACCTGTAATACTGGAAAAATAATATTTATTCTTGTGAGAAGAGGAATAATGAGTAAATTAGCAAGAGGCTTCAAATGACATTTTCAGAAATGTCTCAGTTATTTGGAAACCTGCCACTCAGTGAGAGCCAGGACCATGGTGTGCCCAGCTTGCCTCTGAGAATGGCAGCTGGGCTTTTATCTCAAAAGTCCCTTTGAAAAATACATTAATAA